TGCATTATTATTTGAAAACAAATTGGTTAATGGGCTAAATGCAGTTGTGCAGTTAACACACCCAAGTAAGACAAGAGGTAAATTCAGCTGGAAATGGGAATAACAGTGGGAACCAGGGCACCGACAAGAGTCAGGCTATGGAACATTTGTCATGTGCTCACTATAGAGAGAGTGTATCTTTCTAGGCTTTTTACACAGAAACCCACCCTGCCCCTCCCTCAGGGATAGCATCACGCATGGGAACCCCTCCTCAGGTAAGAAACATGTTCTGAAGAATCAGCTGTTGGCATTAGGCCACTCCGAGATCTTTTTAAACTTTATTTCTCAGTCCAGGGTTTTTACTGATTCGTTTGTTCTTGTGCAAGGCCCTGAGCTGGAGAAAAGACAACTATGCCTTGGACTTGACTCAGATGGGAACAGACAGATCAGGAGACAGAGGCAGGATGGGGGCCTTGGGGCAGGAGGCGCCCTGAAGGCTTGCAGGACAGGTTGGGGAAGAGCTCACTGGTAATTAACAGGACTGAAGAGCACCTCACAAGAGCAAAAGGAGAGAAAAACCATTCAGTGCAAGAGGGGAGATCTTGAGAAAAGGTAATAACGACTAGGACACATATAAGTCAATTCAGGGATTAGTGTCGGCCTGGGGCTCTGAGGAGCAGCCTCAGAGATATTGGCGGAGCAAAGAGAGCAGGGATTACACAGATAACTGATTAAAGAACACGATGGTGCGGGATGAAGAGCTGCAGTGTCAGAAGGGGACAGGGTCAGTAACATGCAGCTGCTTCTGAAAAGGCATCATCGTTCATGGGTAGGAGAGACAAAGCATGACTCTGGGCCCTTTTCCAGAAGAGAATGGGCTATTTGTTGGGTTGCAAGAAGCTTTAGTCAGGTTTGAGGACACAGCCTGCTATCTGGGCTTGCCTGCTGGGGGCTGCCACTGCCCGGCCACGCTGCCCATATCTGCGTCTGGAAAGGGGAGCACTCAGAGAGTGAGAGGGACCGAGTGGTTAACTAGCCCAAGAGGGTCTTGTCACTTCAGAAGCCTGAAGTATGTTAACCTGGTGGAGAAGAGCAGATTAATAGTTGCCACTTAGAGGAAGGTTTTCAAGTTTACCCTGCTAGCTCAGGTCAGAGCTGATGGCCCAGATAGTTTTCTCAGTCTCCATATAATGCCCTCCCTTCTGACGTAGGCCCATCTGGCCATTAACAGCATCTGCAGATGGGCCCAATGAGGGAGATTTTATATAAAAAGAAGGGAGGAAAGAAAGAAAGGAAAAGGAAGGAGACACGAGTTAATGGGGCAGCCGCAGGCAGGCAGGAAGCCCTGTACAAGGACAGCGGACAAGCGCCTGACCTGTAGGTAGAGAAATCCACTCACTCTAAGAGAAGACGGCACTGCCAAAACGGAGAGGACAGACCAGGAAAACGCGTGGCCTGTTAGTCTTCATATTAGAGTTTGGAATGTGAAACTAGAAACCGTGGTCGATAAATGAATTGAAGTGGGAATATAGAAATAATGATGCAGGAAGGTAAGCACGGAATTCAGGTTTTCAATATAATTCTACAGTTGATATCACATTTGTCTTCTCTGTGAACTTGATTCTACAATAGAAGGGCTCATGTGCCTGGGGCCCATGGGGCGCTGTACCTGCCTGCTCCTCCCATGGAGGATCAGAACTTCCCTGGGAGAGAGTGGCCCCAGCCCACGGCTCCTCTGAGCCCCCTGCAGTCTCACCACCTCAACCCTGCCTCCTCTGCCAGGCCCTCCCTCAGTGAATGACAGGTGGCCAGCCAGCCCTGCCCTGCATCCTGCCCACACCCAGCACCAGTGCCCTGATCCTCTAACCAAATAGGCCCTTACCCAGGAACAGACTCACCAAACATGGCAAATCCAAAGTCCATTGGCTGCTCACCAGCCAGCAGGCCCCTCGGAAGGAAAACAAGGTGAGGTTGCAATTCCCCAGGAGCACTAGGTGGGCCGGGGAGGGTGGCAGTGTGTTCCACACTTGTGGCTCAGAGTGTGGTGGGCCACTCACCACTGCGCACACAGGCTCTAGACACCTGTCAGTGCTTTCCAAGCACATCACTAATTGTGATCATTTACACGCTTACAGCTTAGCCTCAGTGTGTGCACCCAAGTCCAACGATAGCTTTTTAGCAGTTGCGTCACTTATTTATAATCTGAGGCCTCTGGAAAATTTGGGAGAAGTCTGGAGACCAGAACGAAGGCCTTGGGATAGGGCAGTGCTGTTTGGAAAGCTCGGGTTCTGCTTCCAGTAGCTTCTGCCTTTTTTATGCAGCCATGAGCGCCTGGTCCCCCATCCCCAAACACTGGTGCCGTTGGCTACCCCTGACCTCAGTTCCTGTCATGTTGCTGGCCTTGCACATCAGCTTCTCCAAGGCTGTCTTGTCAGGCCCCTCAGGAACTGGAACTCATCCTGATCCCATTCCAGCTGAGACCTGACTGCTCCTTGCTGCCCGCCCGCCCATCTTAGCTCTGCCCTCTCACTGGGCCAGCACCACCAGCCCTGCCTTCCCCAGCTTCCTGAGCTCCGCCGCCCACGCACCTCACCTCAGCCCAGAGCTTGGGGTCTCCCTCGGATTTATCCCATCGCTCTATACTTCATCTCTAACAAGTAACCAGGGTTAGTGTATTTCTCTCCTTAAACACCTCACAGACCATAACTCCTCCTCTTGGCCTCCATAACCTCCTATCATAGGACAGTCTTGCTCCCAAGTTGATCCCTGGTGTCTCCATCTCCAGGACACCTTGCACCTCACTGCCAGGTGAATCTTTGCAAATCTCAGTACCACACCACCAGCGCGTACTCATGAGGCCAGGACCTCTGTTGTTAGATCTGATGTGGAGACCTGGTCCCACGGGAAGTGTCTTGTGGGAAGCATCCCACGAACACTGTGGAACGGGCGGGTCATACATGTTCCTGCTCCAGAGCCCTCACTGGCTTCCACCGCTGATCCCCCTCCCCACTGTCCCCAGTCCCTTCCTCACTGTCCCAAGGCCCCTCCCCGCTGTCCCTAGGCCCCTCTCTCACTCTGCCTTATTGGTCAGATCTTGCCCTCAGATACCACTCGACTCTTTCCTCCCCAGTCTTCACTTATATTATTTCAACCCTAAAACATCCTCTCCTTCTCCTTCAGGTCCTGCCTATTATTTTTTAAGAGAACTATATAACAGGGCATAGATTCTCCTAAGTGCTGTAGAGCTGTGGCCTTCGATCATTTTGTTTGTGTATCCCCCAAAAGAGCTTTGGAAAAATGCGTAATCCTTTGAACATTTTAGGTTGAGAAGTAAAATGTTTTATAAGTTTAAATACAATTATTTTTGTTAATCAGAGGAAAAAATAAACATAAAATGGAAAATGAGGATTGACTAATTACTAGGAATAAATATTTGATGGCATGATTTTGATAAAACAGATTTTAACTAACTCTTTGAATAAGGCACACCAAATTTGAGAGTAATTACGGAAAAGTTTTATCCATGGGTTTTAGCCAGAGTATCTTGAAAATGTCTTCATAATTCTCGAAGAATTCCAATTACACCTAAAAGAATTCACATCACCCCTGTGCATGCTTCAGTTCCCAATTCAGAGCCTCTCACTTGGGCCAAGCATCCCCCTCACAGAGTCCCAGGAGGCTGGCCAGTGACTTGTCAGAGACTGTGCCCAGTCCAGGGCTTCAGGGTGGTGAGAAGGAGGTCTGTATGCTCCAGGGCAACACATCAGAACAAGAGAGGGGAGGGCTGGGCTTTTGTCCTTCGTGTGCTGGGCAAGGGCACTGGGAATTCAGGCACACCCTCAGGCAGTTTGAGAAAATACAAATTTTGATGATCTGAGAATTGATTCCCTTAAAACTGCTAGCATGCTCCTTGGAAAGTTGATCCACGACTCCAGACTGAAGACCTCTGCTTCAGAAGATGGGATTTCTGCCCTTCCAAGGGCACAAGACAGGCGCCCAGAGAGTGGAACCCAAAAAAGATCTGGTTGTTGGCAGAGAGAGGAATTTCCACGTGTGGGCTGGGGTGGCGGCCCACCTCTTACCCATGGTTCCTCTGACTGCACCCCACGGCTCACACTTCAGCAGTTGCTGTCTGTTTTGTACCAAGAGTGTCAAGCTCACACACACACACCCTCACCCCGGCCCCACTGCCATGCTGTACATTCTCAAGGTCATGGCCATTGCTCACCCTTGTCTGCTGAGCGCTGTGCTCAGTGCCGTGCCCTGTCTGCACAGTTGCTGGCACAGCACTGACAGTGCAGTAATGCTTCTGGGCCAACCAACTGGTGGGTAGGCAAGCTTTCCCTTGGCTCCTCCAGGTTGAGGACATTTGTCCAGGTGGGCCTGAACCATACACAGTTGAAGTCCACTCCCCAGCACAGCTGCCCAGCAGGGTCTGGGCTCAGCCCTTGCAGGGCCAGAGAGAATTATGCATGAGGACCTTGTGGGAGATAAGTGTGGTCCTTTCCTAGGGTGGTGCCCTGCTGGCTTTTTCTTTTTTTTTATCCCCAACATCTTTTGAGATAATTCTCATAACATACCATTTACCCCATTTGAAGGGGTACAGTTCAATGGGTTTTAGTATATTCAGAGTTGTGCAGCCATCACCACAATCAGCTCCTTTTGTCTTTTAACCCAGCCGCCAAATACAAGAATAAATTAATTAAAAAAGAAAAATAGCCCATGAGACAAAAGTAAGCAAAAAGTGAGTAATCCAATGAGAGCATTTTATAGGAACCCATGCCACGGCCTCTCTAACTTTTGGGCCACTGGTCCATTTACTTTTATCCTGACTGATCAAAACGCATTTACAGCCTTCTGGTTGCTGTCAGGTGCCTCTGCAGGGGCGGAGGACAGTGGGAAGAATGTCCTCTAACTCCCACATGGCAGCCCCAGAGCTGGGCAGGACAGTGTCTCGATTCACGGCAGCTCCGGGGTCACACGCTGACTCGTCACTCATGGGGTCTTCTATTCCCACCCAGGTGTTCCACTGTGTCCACTTTGAGTGTCCGGAGCAGCAGAGCAGCCCAAAGGAGGAGAGCAGCGAGGAGTCGGGGCCAGGGGCCACCAGCCCGGCCAGCCAGCTCAGCCCACATGCCCTGCGGGCTCTCAGCGGCCGCTCACTGCCCTCCAGCCCCGCCTCCAACTCACGCTCACCCAGCCGGCAGCACCAGTAAAGAGGGCAGCAGACGTGGTGTGACTCAGTGGGCCCCAACGACAGCAGGCATGATGATGTCCTCCCTGAACAGGATCTTTGTTGACTGTCCCCCCACTGCCCCCAATTTCCAGGGAGGAGCAGACCTGGCTGCAAAAGCGGACACAGAACAGGTTTCTCCCAAGGACAGAAAGGGGCTGCTTTGTTCTCCTCCATTTGTTCAAATCAGACTGGTCACCAGGGGGAGAAAATGGGTCTTCAATCTTCATCAAGTCCACCATTAACACCCTACCTCTCTAATTTAGTCCAACGAAGGGAACCAGGGAACAGAAGGAAGTAATAGTCAGGCCCATGTCGGAATACAAAAATGGCATGTGAACACTGGGACGGAAGAGAACATATTGGGCCTTTATTACCTGGAGGCTCCCGTTAGGAAATGGGTTTCCATAGTGTTTACTTTTATGGAACACATTGCCCTGGCAACTAAATGATTTTGTATTTCTTTTAGTTATTCTCCATTTGCTGAATCATAGGTGTTCCAGATCTTTTTGAAATGTTCAAAGAGCAAATCACTTGTTTTAATCCCTTCCGCCTCTGTAGTTTACCTTCCTTCATTTTGCATGGCTGAGTGTGGAGCAGAGCAGAGAACCATCGTGCGCAGCTCCTAAAGGAGACACAGATGCAACTCATCATGGTGCCTGGCCTGACAAGAAACTCCTTTGAGGAAGTTCAACAAAACACAGAGCAAGCAAATCAATCCATGGACCCTGGAGTTAATAATCACTAGAACTGCCAAGTTACTAACCCATCATTCCTGCGATGCACCCAGCCTTTAGGCTTGGGAGGCTGACCAGGAAATGGTTATCATGCCAGCTGCTAACTTAACACTCAGGAGTAGATGTGGGTGAGTTTCTCCCAAGTTCCGGCCTTGTCCACCTGCCTGGGATTTGCTCTGCTTTGCTGAGCCAGCAGAGGAGGGGCAGCGTTCGGGATGGGGCCGGCAGCTGGGGAGTGGCTGCTTGGTGGCAGCTGATTTCCCCCACCGCACAAAACTCAGCTGGGGATTGAGAAACAGCAGATCTGAGAAGCTTTTCTCTAATCCTCATTGAAAGGATCTCATCGGACTATCAAGCTCAATCTGGCTGTTTCTTACTTGTTGGTTTCCATTCTGGTGCTGACTGCCCTGGGTAGCCTATTCAGACTGTCTGCGTTCTGCTCATCTCCAGCGTTCTCGCATCTGTTGCCCTCAGCTGCAGCCTGAGAGTCGCTTCCTGAAAGCGTGGCCAAGTGGCACAGTCCTGTGACCTCGGCACGGTCCTGTGACCCTGCTTGGAGGAGTGTTGAAGGCCCGGAGGTTCTTTCTAGTGTCTTAATGACACATTGGTTCAGGGTGTAGAAAGAGCCAACAGGGCAGCTGGAAACTAGCTGTTTTCTCCTAGTCTTAATTTTGACCGATTTCTGCACATTAGAATAGTAGGGTAGCATCAGACTGCATGGTGCTATGGGAAGCTTGTCTTTGTGAACACAGGCCTGCAGGACACGGAGGTCACCAGGCAGGGAGGAGATAGGCCTGAGGGAGGGGCGCCAGCCAGCATTCTCATAGCCTCAGGGCTGCCCCTCCCCGTTGTGGGGGGCACCAGGCCCTTCATAACGTGAGAGGCTCCAGTAATGAATGGTGGGGTGCCTGCTCGGGGTGGAGGCGCTGCCTCAGCATCCAGTCCCCAGTTGCCAATTCGCTCAGAGAGCTCCTGCCCGCTCAGCACTTCCACCTGGGGACAGAGGAGCCAGGTTGGTCCTACCAAGGTAGAGTTCACATGTTTGGAAGGATCTGTTAAGGGGCTGCTTTTTAAACACCGAAGTCACCTGTCTGGGCGCTGCTGCCCTGGGGAAACAGGTGGGCAGGTGAAGGAGTGGAGAGCGACCCCGCCTCCCCCTGCAGACCCCTCACTGCGTCATCCACGCCATCCCGGCGCTGGGAACTAAGTGCGGGTTTGGCAGCTCAGCTCATGTCTGAAGAGGCACACACTGTAGAACCCGGGTGGCCTTGGCTTGCCTTGCCTCTGCCCTCCTCTGCCAGCAGTTTCCTATAGTCTGTACACCTTCCAGATCTTTCTCCCAGCACTTAAAGATGCCCTTTAGATTAGACAAAGGGGAGTAAGGGAGGATGGGTGGCGCCAACAACAGATGCCAGCAGGGAGGACTGAGGGCAGGGTCTCATCCCCCCAGCTGTGGCTCCTGTGTGGACACCCTGTGAAGCCTGCTTGGACCCCACCCAGGAGGACACTGGAGCTTCCTTGAGGGGCCTTCTGATTTGGGGACTGGAGGCTCTTTTTGTATGTCCAGCTGAGCCTGGAGGCCACAGTCAAGGTACTAAACACCAGACACAGAGGCCTACATCTCCAGGGAACAGGGATGAGCCAGCAACGAAGAAAACGCCCCCAGGCAGCCTGGAGTTCCCTGGAACCTGTCTGGTCCTTGGAGGACTTCTCCCCTGGGGCCAACTGGACCAAAATGGCCCAAATACTTGAAGCTAAATGCAAGTGCAGATGAAGCTCAGGCTGGCATGCAGCTGGAAGGTGCCGGGCACTGGAAAGCCCTCAGCCAAGCACACGGTGGAGGCTGATCCCGCTGGGAACTGTGTCATGTGAAGGAGGAGACTGGGCCACAAGGCGGGGAGGGGCTACAGGCAGATGGGGACTTGTTAGAAGACTGGTGAGGTGAGGCCAGACCCTGCAGGGACAGAAAAGGCTCTGGTCTCTGGCCCTTTATCACAGTTCTTTACAGTTACAAACTGAAATGACACCTTTGTAACCACCACCAGGTCAAGAAATGGGAAGTTGCTAGAACCCCCTGTCCTTCAGTTTTGATCATGTTTTTTGGGAGAATAGAAAGAAAACTTCATTGGGGCTTTTGGGAAAAGACTTCAAAGTCACCTTCTGGCAGCTCCCACGGGGGCCATTGGGGTGGCACTGAGAGGGGAAGGACATGGGGGGCGGGTGTCTCCTGCACCTCCAGGCAGAGCGGTCCTAAGGCGGTGCTTGCTGCCAGCACTTCAGCTTTAGAAACATCCGCGCACATGCTTGCACAAGCTTGTTTTCCCATTTCTAGTGCTTTTTCTGTTTTTCTTCTTCTGGTTTTAGAACCATGAGCCCATGATGGATGTGGGACTCTTCTCAATTGCTCTTTAAATTGTCACTTTTTTAATCTTATTAAATGAAGTGTCGATTCCTGACAAATACATTAAAAGTGTTTTATTCCTAGAAGAGTTGGGAAAATAAATTATTTTCAACAAGAGTGGGATGTGTTTGTTAGATGGATTCCTTGGCAAAAAAACAAACAAACAAACATGAATTGTGCAAAAATTGCTCAGTAGTTACGCTCTTGCCGCAGTTGTCAAACTGCTGTGCAGACAGCTCCGGTTCAGTCAACTTCTTTTTAATTTAGACAAAATTGTAATCACTTATCCTTTCTAGAGCCAAGGGGGAAAAAGGAAAGTGTAATCTACAATAAAAAGCAGAGCATTCTGTGTGCTGAGGCCACTTGGCCATAAAGAGACAGAGCATTCCCCATTGCGGACTTCAATTAAGAGCCTCCCTTTGGACAGGGAAGAAAAGTGTCAAAAGAGGAAAAGAAAATTAAATTTGCCTGCTTCCAGGAGTTTTTCCTCATTAGCGTTTTGCTTTTCAGTGTTATTTTAATTCTGCCTTCTGTGCAGTGACCAGTTCCTCTGCATTCTGCAGAGCCGGGCAGGGTGTCTCCGCAAGGGTGTGCTGCGGTGGGCACAGGCCATGCTCCATTTATTTTTGCGGCTGCAGCCATCTATTCTGCATGTTTATCCTAACAACAGCTCCAGCAGGGGTTCAGTGCTCATTCGTGGCCCTAGGAATTTAAAATGCAGTTCATGGTTCTGTGCCACCGTGGGTTTTATTATTATAACATTAAATTAGAAGTCATCCTGGTGCCTGATGTTTGCTCAGGAGTTTGTGGAGAAGAGGGAGGGAAGGGTGCAGATAGCACACAGCACAACTGCAACGCCCCATCTCCTCAACCTGGGCCCAGTCACACCGGTCCTGGCCAGTCCTTGAGACCCTGGTTGTCTGCAGAGAGAGTGGTAAAGGTAGCGAAGGATGTTGCTTGCAGGCTGGACCAGCTTCCCGATCATGCCCTAGCCGCCCTTGTGAGAGGTGGGGCTGATGGAGGAAAGAGGACAAGGTGGGTCCTCCTGGTAGGCTTCCATCAGGCTGAGGCAGCGGCGGCAGTGGCCATGCCCTTGCTGCCTGGCTCTGGCTGCACATCCGAGGATGCCACCGCCCCCTCCTGCACAGTGCCCGCTGCACACACCAGCCCCACCCACGTCCCTCCAGCCAGGACTTGCTGCTGGGCCAGTGCAGGGATTGGGGCAGGTGCACAGAAAAGTACGGAAACCCCCACCCGCCACACTTGTTTGAATAGCACTATTGTATCTCTTTAAATTACGGATTTAAAAAATTATACAAGTAATACTGCTCATGGAATACCATTCTAACCTAGCAGAATGGGCAGTGATCCCTCCTCTGGCTCGGAGTCACTCCTGAGCAGGGCCCACATATCACGCACTCCTCTGGGACTCACCACTGGCTGCAGTGCTCCCTGTCCCCAGCTTGCCATGGCTCCCAAAACCCTGCCCCTCCCAGGCCAGCCTGCTGCACCCAGCAAGCCCCAGCCAGAATCCAGGCTGAAGGCCCTCTCACCCCATTGGGCTAGTTCCCTTCTTCCTTTTTTTAAAGAACCGAAATATTCCCCCAGAGGCCTCATGGCCTAAAGACTCATAATCACCCATCTGTAATTTATGATAAATGTCTTGGAGCATTTGCCATTTGCATCATGAGTATTTATAGCCCTACGCAGGGAAGGAGGAGGAGGAGGAAGTGGTGGCCAGGAGCTGTACACCTGTCTTTACTATTGTCTCCTTCCCAAGGTCCGAAGCTGAAGGGTGCCACCTCTGAAGGCTAGTGGGCAAGCGCTCCTCCCACCTGGAGGTGGAAGGTGCCACAGCAGAGGCCCTGACCCCACTGCAGAGAGGCAGCACTGGCTGAGCGAGGTGGGGAGGGAAGTGGGCAGCAGGGCCGAGAGGCTCTGGGCCCTGGGACACTGGTGACACTGTTACAGTCCATAGCCTGCTCCCCACAACGTGAGCCCCAGGGGTTGATGGCCCCCTACACCAAGGGCACCCCTGCCTGAGCAGAACTGGGCTGCGTATGCCAGCGAGTCTCCCTTGGAGAAATTGGCCTCTGCTTGCTGCCCTGGTGCCACAGCCCCCAATGGCTGCTTCTGGCCCCAAGTTCCTGGGTTTACTCCCAGTCCACTTTCCTTCCACCCAGGGCCTGGCAGTGGGGGCCCCAGCTTCTACAGTTGTTGTTCCCTCTGAGACCTGCTTGTGGCCCTTCAATCAGCTGCTCCCTAGGTGATG